GAATGACTCTTACTCCAAGGTGGTAGAGGAAATTCTTAGATGATCCTTACTTCAAGGTGGCAATGATGAAACTCTTGGATGACCCTTACTCCAAAGTGATAGAGAAGGCTCTTGGGATATCCCTTCGTGCTCCTCTATTGATGTAACTCATGCACCTGATAAACTTGACCAGGTGCAAACTCCTTTGGGTTTGACTAACTAGACCTCTTGAAGTTGAGTAATTAGACTTGTAATATGAGTTGGATCCTTGGGCTTGACCCATCATATGTCACCGAAAATATTTTATGTTTTTGTAAATAAGAATGTCTATTGTTGTGGAATGTTTGTAACATGTACAATTATTTTAAAAATTTGAGGGCAAAATAAAAAGTTAAAGTCAAAAAATTTGTTTGCTTCATGACAGACCTTCGATCTTTTGCTTGAAGGGTATTTGTTGCAATCTGTCACATCTTAGGGGGAGGTCAGTATAGTTGTGTAAAAAACGGGGGTACAATAAAAATATCAGAAACAGTAAAAGATGTCAATGTAATTTACCCTAATAAAATATATTCGGAATCAATGAAAATATCTTATTACTCTGTTATTCATTGCCAAACACGTCATTATCCAAACTGAACCAATAAATCTTTCAAAGATGGACGGTAGTTTTGGCATGCCCATCATGAAATTGGCCTTTTATAAATCAATGGTAAGTGAAGATTCATTAATACTCCATCCGATGGTTCAGGGGACCCCATCCCTTGTTATATCAATTGGTTTATGTGTTTTTTTTTTACTAAATATGATGTGGACATATTATAAAACAAAAGAAAGATATAGGAGAAGTAAGCAACAAAAGCTTAATTCCTATTATTTTTATTTTTTGCTTTTTTGGGTATAAAAAAGGTAAATAAATTATTGGATTTTTTGTATTTTAAACCCCGAACGATTTTAATTTTTCTACTTGGCTCCCCCTAATAATAAAAATTTTAAATTACACCTTTAATGTATCAAAAGCTAATCCATTAATACTGACAGAAAAATTAACAGAACGACCAAAATATAAAACATTTACTTGCACAAAATGTGATTTTATTTCTAAAAAGTTTGTGTTTCAAAGGGGAGAAATGGTGTAAAAGTAAAAATAAAATTATTTATATTTAATTTGCTTGACTTTGAGAAATGTTATTGAGATTTAATTCAAGCGATATTGAATCAAATATATCTGGGGATTGAGGTTGTATTTGTTTAACAATTCCTACCATGTGCATCATATCATGGTGATCAATTTGATTAAATTAAAAATTGGGCAAGTGCCAAAGTGGGACAAAGGGATCATGAGAAAAAAAAAATTTCTTTATTTTTTTTTGGTTATTTTGAGCAAAACAATAAAAAATCAGTCTGTTTTTTTTTTTAATGTGGGTCGATCCAGACTTTATGGTGAATTGGGAGAAACGAGGAGCAACATGTTACCTATGGTTGGTGAACCCAAAGTAACATGATAGACAATTATTATTTTTTATTTTTTCAACTTTATCTAATTAAACGTATGTTATTTACATTGGAACAAAGATATTGATGAAAATATAAATTTCTCATTGTTTAAACTGAAGAAATTACTAAGATTTAAACTCACTCAATCTTATTTTCCCTGAAACTACCCTTGGAATTCGTGATACACATCTATCTAGTTAAAGAGGTGATCAAAAAAAAAAAAACGTGGCTATGGAGTAACCTTAGTTAATAAGCATTAATTATTGACTATATAATTCATTCACACTTTCAAATACCAACACTGGTATCAATGGATTAAATTACCCTCAAGCCCAACTTATCTCATTTATTTTCAACTTTGACTACATAATTTGAATTTAACTATCACTTAAAAATAATTAAGGCCAACATGAATAGTATTAATATTTTCACATACACCTTTTAAATTAAACCAACCTATTTTATGGGTTAAATGAATTCATTTATAATATTATTGAAGTGAAAAATATTTTTACTCCTAAGAAACCCTGGATTTGACTAACTCGGGGTTTCTTTAGTAATTTTAATGGTTACATCATTGGTCAATTTTGGACTTTTTTATATTTTACACCATGTTCAATTATTCTGCTAACTTTTGTTTTTTTTTTTTTTCATTTTTTGTCAAAAGCAAATCTACTGAAACTAACAAAAAAAAAAACTAATAAAACATAATAAAAGAATCACATTGTAATATTTTTGATATATTAAAGGTGTAATATAAAAATTTAAATTATTTAGAGTGTAAAGTGAAAATTTTAAAATCTTTTTCTGGATAGATAGTGTAATTTGTCCTTCAATTCCCTATTCAAACAAAGTGTCGTATAAGATAAATGTGACCCGGTACTTTTCAATATCTTAACCAAACAACGGTTGATGTGAAAAATTGAGAATGCAACGTAAAAAATTAAAATTTTCAGAGTGCAAAGTAAGAATTTTAAATTTTTTTTAAGTACTATTCGTTCTTCAATTTTTTATTCAAACAAAGTGTTATATGAGATAAATGTGAACTCACTACATTTCAATTCCTTCACCAAACATGGGTGGATGAGGAATGAGTTTTGAATTTGACTTTCTTCTCTAATTGGATGCATATAAAATGAATGGAGTTGTCTAATCCAATCAAATCCTAATGCATATCTGAACACACCCTAATAAGAGTTTTGGACCATAAATAAATAATGGTTAAATATAGGGCAAACTTCACTTACTCCTCTTGCCCTTCAATATAACTAAAGGGTGAGATTTGTCACAGTTGCAAAATATTTGCATTATTAATAAGAAAATGTATAATAATTTTATTTTAGGCATAAGTATGTCATATGAATACAATTACTTCTCTTAGATAAGGTAGCAAATTTCGAAACAACTTCCAACTCCAAATTTTCATTATATGAACTTGAAAATGACATACTTTAATAATATGAATAACAAATAAGAGAGTGGGTATCTGTGTCAAACATATATAATTTAATTTTGATACGTTAAACTTATTTGGATGATAATATAATAACAATTAGACTTATGAATTGTCGTGAAACATGTGACACTGGGATCAAATTAGGATTTTTTTTTTTAAATACTTGCGGTAGATCTTAGTAAGAGATACATGGGACATAGAATTGAAATTTTAAATTTATACATTTTACTTGTTAATTTGAACACGATAATTCAAATTTGACAATTATAAATTTTTAAATTAATGGTTAAAATACAAAACTTTGAATATTATAATTATTCTACCTATATAAATCAAATTCCTTAACAATTAAACTTTAGGACCTCAAAATACCAAAATTATAAATTGATTCCTAAACTTTGCTTCCGTTTCAGTTTAGTATCTGAACTTTTAATTATCATAATTTAGTTTCTCAATTATCAGTTTGTCTCCATTAAGTATGTTCATCAATTTTCGTTGTTAGATCGATTAGAGATTAGTCAAATCTGATCTATTTTAACATTGATTTAATTAAGATATAATTGATATTTGAGGAATTAAATTAAAATAATTAAAAAATTAAAAATCAAACTAAAATTGGAGGCTTAGTTTAGTGGCCAACTATGATTACTCAATCACTCAAATTAGTGGTCTAGTAATATATCGTACTCGTTTAGGGTTGTTATTGACTTTTATATAATTATCAAATAAAATTCAATTTATGAGAACAACACGATTTATTACTTAATTTTAATAGTAATATGGTGACAAATTTTCTTTCTACGTTAGTAATTATAACTCAAATTGAAAATACCACACGCACTAATAAATTCTCATGATCTCTTCCGAGAAAAAAAAATATGATTACTCAAATTAAAATCTTCACTTTCTAAAGTTTTTTTTTTTTTGTATTTAAATTTTCCAAGAAATTTCTTTTGTGTGAGCGTACACAAGACAAGTAAGTTCTCTGTGCAAGACGCCGTACAGAATAAAATTAGGCTGTCTCGTCCATAGTGTGAAACTGATACTGAAAACGACGTCGACGTGGGCGAAATAATTGATGTACAACTCCTTTTAGTGGGGCCCTCCACTTTAAAAAAGACAAGGGCATGAAAAATTTGCTGCCTCCCCACTTCTCGTGGCCACCAATTAAAAACTGTAACGTGGCCCTTTCTGATTCGTTCCTTACTATAGAGATAAGAATCAAACCCCAATTAAGTTAAGTTAATTAATCCCTCTCATAATTAATCAAGTTTAACAACCAAACTTCAATAACATACCGTTCACCTTTTTATATTTTATGAAAAATATAATATGGTTATTTATTATTATTTTATGTAATATTATATTTTTTATTTATTATTTGAATGTTGGTTAGTATCAAATATCAAATTGATGTAAGGTATACTTTTAAGGATTAAATTAATAAAATTAAAATTTTAAAGACTAAAGGTGAATTAATAGTAAATCTCAGGACCATTGGAAGAGTCGGTGGCAAGGTGAGTCACAAGGACACTAGTCCACGGTTAGAGTAGCAAAGGACGGGTCACGCTTTTAACCCCCACTCATTACATGCGCAAAACATGACCATTCTCACACCTCCTATTTCTATGGCCACACTTGAGGACTTTTAAGTTTTAACACTTCCCACCCCCCAGCTTCCTTTCTTGGTTGGTCAGTGCCCTCTCTTTCTCTCTCTCTCTCTCTCCTCTTTTGTTTCCTGCCTGCTTCTCATTTCCACCTATCGCATCTCATCCACATGGTTTCTTCCTCCCACCTTCTGAATTTGCAGGTCAGGTCTTTTTAAATTCCTTAAAGAACTTCTCCTCGTTTTATTTACTACAAGAAATTACGTATATGAGTATCTTTTCTTATTCAAATTAACCTTTATTTACACTACCCACCCCCCCTGTTCCCTTTATCATTCATTGCCTTTATAACTCCCCTTCCTCTCGCCCACCGTTTTCATTCTCTATCCTCGACACCACAACACCCAAAAACCCAGTTTCAGAGGGGGTGAACAGAGATGACTTTCCATAGATCGTACCTTTCCATGGCTACCCTTTTGTTGTTCGCCTTCTTTGTCTTGTCATCGGCGCTCGATATGTCGATCATCAGCTACGACGAACACCACGGCGAGAAATCTTTTTCGTACTTGAGGACAGACGGTGAGGTCATGACGATGTACGAGTCGTGGCTTGTGAAGCACGGCAAGGTGTACAACGCCTTGGGAGAGAAAGAGAGGAGGTTTCAGATCTTTAAAGACAACCTCCGATTCATCGATAACCACAATAACGCCGGCGAGAAAGCGACGTATACTCTCGGTCTGAACCGGTTTGCCGATCTGACTAACGACGAGTACCGGTCCGTGTACTTGGGAGTCAAGCCCGGTACCAAACGGATCTTGTCGAGGACGAAGGTGATAAGCGATCGGTACACTCTCAAAGTCGGTGAGAGCTTACCGGATTCCGTCGATTGGAGAACCAAAGGTGCCGTCGGGCCGGTCAAAGATCAAGGAAGCTGTGGTGAGCTTTTCATCCTATATTTTTATTTTGACTATATTGCCCTTCCAATAATTTTCTCTTACATGCTGTTAAGGTCAATTTCGTCCATACGAAATAGTTTTTTGGGTAATGTTAAGGATAGTTCAAGGAACGTAGAGTTTGACTCTTTGTTGTTCTTATGGGTCATCCCACGAGGGATTATCCTTATAAATATCCTATTCCGACGCGACGTGGATGTCTTGTTTTCACCGGTTCGGGTAAGGGATTGGTTAGATGTGTGTTTAAGTTAATCCGGAAGAAAAAAATAAAAATTCTAAAAATATTTATCATTTTTGTGAGGAGTTATGCGAATTTTATTAGCCGTAGATCTCTCTGATAACGACTACTTGATCTTGTTGTTCAACACTGGAATTAGATAACTTAGTGGGGTAAGGCTGCCGTACCCATGCCAGTATATTAATCATCCATTTTAATTGCAATCATTCATTGAAAAATAAATAAATACACTTTATTTTTTAAAAAATTATTATTTAAAAAATAAAAATATGGTACCAAAAAAATAGTTTGGTAAGGACTTGATAAACCAAACCTTGTGGAAAAGTCCTTGTTATTAGGTCTTTAGATTAGGACCAAGCTAACCCACTGCACTCATTACCCTATCAAAATCGGAATAAGCTTCTAAAAGGTATGCTAATTTCTTTTAATTAGAGGACGTATTCAAGTAGATAATTTTATAATTTTTGGGAAAATTACCAATTATTTAAGTGGCTAAATCTTTGTTGTCTGAAAAAAATGGGGAGGGGCCTGGAATTAGTCAGAAATTGAGGGGTGTCAAGGCTATTAAAAATTGTTTTGTGTCTATACCCCGTCGTCCAATGCTTGCTAACGGATGTTTGTTTTCGTCAATTTTCTAGCCCAGTTGTCCACATATCTCCTTGTCCAAGATTAATCTTGTAACCAAACAAGACTTTTTGACACTACCATACTTCTCTGCCTGACGAATGCACATTTGTTGTAACCGCAGAATTTAGATACTGTCCCCTTGTGTATTGGAGAAAATCTTGTTCTAGTTTACCCAATTGTTAGGCCACGGATTCTATGGGCTGGGCTGTGATACGGATCTCACTTGTTTTATGTGAAGATTCATTGATCCTCTGCTCAGCAAGTTTTCGTGACGTTATTCAAATTCCACTGATGGCCCCCACATGTTATGATACGTCATGCATGAACTCACCTTAATGTTGACCCCACAGCTGCAGGGGTTATGAACCATGGATTGGCCTTTTCACTGGATTTGGCCCGACGCCATTATTACATATATTTTTACTAAATTTTTTTATCAATTTTTTTGTCCCAAATAAAAAGACTTATTTTTTTGATGTCGAAAACTTAACAAGAATGGATACAGACATGGGGGTAACAAGTTAAAAAGATATAGGAAATGGGTACGATAAGAATATGGCTATTAAAATAATAGTGAACATTAATTTTTTAATTAAAATTAAAATAGATCAAAATAAATATCAATGATGTTCATAAAAAATTATTACATTTATTGACATTCATAGTATATTAGTCACATAATAAAAAATTTATTAAAAAAAAATAAAAATAGCACCTTTTTTCATAGTCAGCAGTTATTTTTTATTAAAAAAAGTTACTGGCTGTATCTTGAACGTGTTCTGCCCATGGGGCCATGTCCTAGAAGTGTCCTGACCCTGTTCCACACATGTTCCACACTGTTGCGGCACCCCTTGGAGAGTATTCGTACTTTCTAGTTGAAAATTGTGCCAAATGATTTTGAATGGAAATTTGGTAAAAATATTTGGTAAGCATGGCATTTCTCATAATTGTAAGTGTCTAAAAGTTTAATCCATTAAGCAAACTCTTAATCATCTTTTGAATTGATAAAAAATAAAGAAAAGAGGAATCTAAGCAACTTTCTTGTTTGACTTTTGGTTTGGTTTAAACTTTAATTATTACTTTGTTTTTTAGATTTAATAATATGTTATTGGTTTCATGGAAATGCAGGGAGTTGTTGGGCTTTTTCAACAATTGGCGCTGTGGAAGGGATAAACCAGATTGTCACTGGGGATATGATCCCTCTGTCAGAGCAAGAGTTGGTGGACTGTGATACTTCTTATAATGAAGGATGCAATGGTGGCCTCATGGACTATGCTTTTCAGTTCATTATCGACAATGGTGGCATTGACTCTGAAGAGGACTACCCCTATAAAGGCAGGGATGGCAGATGCGACCAGTACAGGGTTTGTATTTATTATTCCTAATCTAAAGGAACATTTGTATATTAAGAAAATATCAAAACCCAAATGAAAACAAAAAATAGAGATAGTAAAACATTGTCTGCCATTATTCTTGGATCTTATATTATTTCGTCATGTGTCTTGTGCAGAAAAATGCAAAGGTTGTTGCAATTGATGGTTATGAAGATGTCACTCCAAATAGCGAGAAGGCATTGAAAAAGGCAGTTGCAAATCAACCCATCAGTATTGCCATTGAAGCTGGTGGCAGGGCTTTCCAGTTCTACTCATCGGTAAAATTTTTTCTATTCTTTCTGGTCATCATCATTACTCATGTAAACAGACGATGGTATTGAATTTAGATGATATCAAGTAAAAATATGACTTGTCTAAGTTCACTTGGATAATATCAACCTTTACACAAATTGAAATAATTTTTTGGTTGAATGACTTGTAATATTATAAAATATACACAACTAGTGGATTAAACAATTTGTTTCATGTGATTGTCAGCTTGTGTTTTTTCTTTGCCACCATTTTGAAGGTTGCCTTTTGAACACATTGTACTAACTATGTAAATTATCGCAAATCATATTGATTTTTGTTACTTAAGCTATTGTTTGTTTTCCCTTTCCAACGTCCTCAGGGAGTATTCACAGGTGAATGTGGTACAGCGCTGGACCATGGTGTCGTTGCTGTTGGATATGGTAGTGAAAATGGTAAGGATTACTGGATTGTGAGGAACTCATGGGGCCCAGACTGGGGAGAAGCTGGCTATCTCAGGATGGAGCGTAATTTGCATGACACTGACACTGGCAAATGTGGAATTGCAATTGAGCCCTCTTACCCTGTCAAGACAGGTCAAAACCCCCCCAATCCCGGTCCATCTCCTCCATCTCCAGTAAAGCCCCCCAGTGTTTGTGATGATTATTACTCTTGCTCAGAGAGCAGCACTTGCTGCTGCGTCTATGAATTCAATGGTGATTGCTTTGCCTGGGGATGCTGCCCTCTTGATGGTGCCACATGCTGTGACGACCATTACAGTTGTTGCCCTCATGAGTATCCCGTGTGCAATGTTTATGCAGGGACTTGTCAAATGGTAAACATTAATCCTTGTTATTCATATTTCCAAGCTAAACTTTTTGTAATATTTGGTATAGTTTCATAAAGATGGATTTTTTTGCCATAGTTTGTTTAGTCACTAAACTTTTTTGACTTGACAGAGCAAGGACAACCCATTGGGAGTGAAGGCAATGAAGCGCACTCTTGCTAAACGCACTCTTGCTAAACGGATGTGGACTCACGGCATAGAAGGAAAGAAGACCAGTGCTTGATAAACTTTTATAGCTTTAAAGCAGTGGATTAGGAGAGCAAAAGCAATTGGAGGACGAAAGAAAACCTGTGCTTGATGATCTCCTTACCATAATCATAATCATACTGCTTACATGATTTTCCACCATTGCAGTACAATTACAACCAGATGGATGGTCTATTTATGATTATTCAGTGCTGATTTGTATATAGTGCTTTGTATACCTGTGTTTCATTTGAACGGCAAACCGATTATGAATCTGCTTTGTGACATTATGTATATAGGTCTCGTATCTCAGGCACCACATTGTGGTGTCTTCCATGAACTAATTTATAATTCCAATGCTACTTGTAGCTCATTCGATGGTAAAGACAAGTTCTTTTTTATCAATTCTCCTCTACAGTTATCTTCGTTTCTATTATTATATGATATGTGACCATCAATTAGAGTTCATGTTTTGTATTTTGCATCTTGTGTTGCTGTAGATATTGAAAGGTATGTCGAAGTTCATGATGCCCTTTTTCCGCTGTTCCTTCAAATTGTTCCCATCTGCATGTACCAGAAAGGTATGTTGAAAGAATATTGAGATTTCCTTATTTTGGAAAATTAGAAGCAACACTACATTGGATTGTTCGGATTGAATGTTCTTGTGAAATGTGAATGTATGTATCTAATGCTTTATGCATGATGTTTGGAGTGGTGTTATTTACTGGCCTCATTCGGGGTAGGCCTCAATCAAAGAAGGATAGTTAAAACTGATTTCACTCGTTCTCTTGCCCTTACCAGACGCTTACCTCTGAACTAGGCTACCCTTCATTTGCCACTACTTCATTCCCTTTATTGCATCTTTTCATCAAGCTTGTTCCATGTCAGCCCCTTCATTGCCTCATTCTTTTGCCTGTAATTGTATTCACTAGCCCTAATTCCATCCCACATTCTCGTGTAACTTGCGCCCTATTGTGTCTACTTGCAGCACATGTGGTAGATTTGGAGTATAGAGGGGCTGCAGAATTTTTAACCCGGCTAAGTTAAAGAATAGAAGTCCTGAAATGGGAAATATGATTATGATTTTGCTTGTAGTAGAGAACTTGGGCTGTAGCGCTATGGCTATGGATGTTTTAACTGATGAGGTTATTGGCATCATCAAAAACCAAAGCCGTGAATACTGCTATGGCTAACAATTATGCCATTTCAATAGCTTTACGGGCTATGTCTAGAAGGTTTTGCTTCTAGGCATATTCCACAATGAAGGTTATGACATTTAGAAAGCAGGTTTTTTTACCAAGTTGTCATGAAATGATCCATGAGAAGGTTTGGGGGCGGTCTTGTTGGGTGTCGCTCTGCGCTTAAAGAGGTGGTCTCTGAAAAGGCTTTGATCCTCTCCGTCCGGCAACGGTGGTGACTGTTAGAGTAGTTAGGTTATTTAGAGTCAAGGGTAGTTTAGTTATTTTGTTTATTTTTATGTTGTTCTAACTTAGTTTATTTTTTTTTTGTCCTACTATATAAATACCTCTTATATTGTAGTTTCCTTTTGAGGTTGTTTTGGTTTATTGTGTCTTAATAATATTCTGTTTTTCTTTCTCTTATTTTTCTATGATTGATCAAAGTTAACATGGTGTCAGAGCATGGTTTCGATTTAAAATATATTGTAGCACCACAATAATTTAGTTGGAGAAAGAATATATTCTTGGATTAGGGCTGACATCATCTATGACGATTTATTCTTGGATTAGGGTTGTTGATTTTTTTTTTTGTAGTTCTAAGGGCTGTGAACAGTGCTGAAGTTACTGTTCATGCGTTGTGAACAGTGCCAAATTCGACTGTTATGAGTATTTAATTTACAAAATTGTTGAGTTGATTTATGACGAACTTTGTATTGTTTGACGTTGACTACTTCTTTTCTTCTGTTGGTGTTTCTCGTTGTTGGGTCTTCCTCGCTGAACTAGTCTTTGCAAGGTAAGACATTCCAACTATTAGGGTTTGTTGATTTTGGCTATTGTTGATTTGTTGGATTTGTTTGTTTGGGCTTGCTATTTGACATAACGTTACATTGTTTGGGTTTATTTACATTATTTCGCACTGAATAAGTAGGAAATTTTTGTTTCCTTTCTTATTGATTGGTGGGTTTGAGCCTTTGGGGCTGATTTTGTGAATGAACGGCTGAGTGAGTATTTGATTTGCAAAGTTGAGTTTTGATTTTCTGTTGGGCCCTTATTTGCTATTAGGGTGTTGGGTTGTTAGATTTTGTTTGTTTATATTTGCTTTGGATTGCTTGATTTGGGTATTATGACCAGTGAAAATTCTGATTCTCTTCAGGCTATCAATGTCAGATTAAAAGGTGAGAACTATGTATACTGGGCTTATGTTATGAAAAATTTCTTGTTGGGTAAAGAAATGTGAAGATATGTTAGTGGTGATTCGTCAGCTCCAATTGATCCTAAAGTCGAGAAATATGTTGACTTAAAGAATACTTGGGAAATCAACAACGCTAAAATTATCACTTGGATTAACAATTCAGTTGATCAGACCATTGATGTTCATTTGACTAAGTTTAATACAGTCAAGGAGATTTGAGATTATTTAGTTACCCTATTTGTTCCGTCTAATTTTGCAAAGAAGTATTAGTTAGAGCATGAAATTCGAGCTGTATGTCAAGGTGATAAGAACATTCAGGAGTTTTACTCAGTTATGACTGGGTATTGTGATTAGTTAGCACCTACTGAACTGAGTACTTATATGATATATCGCACTTTTAGAGAGGAGCAGAGGTTGGTATAATTTTTGATGGCCCTCAGGGATAACTTCGAGGGACTTCATGGTTATATTCTTCATTGTAACCCACTTCTCTCATTGGATGCAGTAGTGAATGAGCTTCTGGCTGAAGAAGTTCGTCTTAATACTCTTTTTGGGAAAAGTCTTGTTCCATTGCCTACTTAGACTGTATTGGTTGTGCCTCCCACGGTGACTTCTAAATATTGGGGTCGTGTAGCTTTAGATGAGTGTAGCTTCTGTCATAAGAATGGCCACTGGAAGACTCAATGCCCTAAACTGATGAACAAAAATGCAAAGGGGATAGCAAATTAGTCAGCAGTTGCAACACTAACGGATGAGTCCTCCTCACAGGCACCTAGTCTAACTATGTTTGCTGATCAGTTGCAAAAGTTAATCTCTCTCCATCAGCCTAGTGCACTTACAGTATCTCCTTCAGTACGTTCATTTACCTCAAGTCATTTAGGATCTAAAGTCCAACAAGCTGATTGGGACATGTCGTAAAAAGGGAGGACTGTATGCAGTTAACATATTTCTTCACAAAATCGCATCCTGTCACTTGCTTTCGTTTTCTTCTTGGCAAACTCTTGATGCTTTCTATTGCCACATCATGAGTTTGAGGGAAGATGTTAAAGTAGTTAGGTTATTTAGACTTAGGGGTAGTTTAGTCAATTTGTTTACTTTAATGTTGCCCTAGCTTAGTCTGATTATTTTCTTTTTGCCCTACTATATAAAAACTTTTTATATTGTAGTTTTCCTTTATGTAATTTTCTTTTAAGGTTGTTTTGGCTTATTATGCATTTATAATATTTTATTCACTTTATCTTACTTTTCTATGATCGATCAAAGTTAACAGTGACCATTGGGAAGGAATGCACTATGTCAAACCATGGTATGATGCACTAGGCCCCAACATTTATGGGCTTAGATACTGCACTTGCCCTTGGATGAGAGTAGCACTTGACATCACTGTTAAATTGTTTTATTATGACTTGGGTACTATGAATTTGAATCATGGAATCAATCTCTCTCTATGAGCAAAGAATGCATATTACAACCCTCGGACTTGTAATGGAAGAAGTTACGTACAATAGACTACCCAAAAGTAGCACAAAAATGGTCAAGCAAAGATGGCAAAAAGAAAAAAAAGGGTATCCAACCAAAGTGTCCTACCAGAATGGAGTATATGTCTATCTCTTTTTACTTATTATGTTTCACAGGAGAGAGAGAGAGAGTCCAATACATCCGGCTATGAATCTAAGCCATTCAATAAGGAGGTCCACTTGTGAAATGGTTCAAACAAGCTTTACACCAGTAAATCACAAGAAATTCGTCATGTTGCTCCCCTACCTATCGTGAATAAAATATAACACGTCATCGTAATACATAAAAAAGATGAAAATCAAAGGAATGTTAGACTCGCCACAGTTCGACTGTTTCTTGTATTTCTTCAAACTTGACCAAATTTCTTCAACTCAAGGTTCGGAAATTGGAAATTGCAAAAAACTCAAACGTCGTTTTATATTGTGTTACAAGCATGGTTCAAAGTATCGGTTGATACTGATACGAGTCGATCAAGTCGTATACGACTTAGCACATTCTAAAACGATATCATTACACGATACATTATATCGAGTCTCGTACGACTAGACTGAGTTGTATCCGAGTTAATCTGTGAAGACCCTGCCCCATTACCGGGACCCTGTCTTCCAAGGGTTAACCTCCCATTACCGGGATATCACCACCCTCCACCAAAGGATTTCGGCTAACCTGCAGGACTCGCCCCACAGTAGCCTTTACCTCCGTCCCACATCGGGGAAGGAGTCGTCTCCCCACCCCCATATAAGCCGAAGCACAATATGGAAGCAGTACCCAAGTAGCACACTGTGCTACTTGGGTACTGCTTCCATATTGTGCTTCGGCTTATATGGGGGTGGGGAGACGACTCCTTCCCCGATGTGGGACGGAGGTAAAGGCTACTGTGGGGCGAGTCCTGCAGGTTAGCCGAAATCCTTTGGTGGAGGGTGGTGATATCCCGGTAATGGGAGGTTAACCCTTGGAAGACAGGGTCCCGGTAATGGGGCAGGGTCTTCACATAATCTGGAATCGATAACTACGGTGTCACGACGTCACGGTATAATTTGAATTTTTCGTCATGTTCCACATTTTCTTTTAAATCGTATCACCTGACACCGCGCAACGCCGCGACCAATGTGTCACAAAACTATCCAAGTCGATGGTTGATTCCGTGACCTTGAACCCTGGTTACAAGACTGATGTTGTCTGCTAATTAGTTCTATCTCAAGACTGATGTTCCCTGTTAATTAGTTCTATCTTAGAGTTGTGCTAACAATTCATGGTATACCATTCTTCTAACAGCACTGGGGCCCACTTCAGTGTCATGTAACACATCTCACAGCTCATTTTCATTGCATTTCTACATCTTCCTTGAATAAATTTCAAAAAACTAAGGTTAGGGACCATCCATTCTGTCGGGCTAGCTAGATACTCGATGTCTGTGTGCAACAACTTGAATCTAATACAATTATCTTTGTCTCTCTTATTTCTCTTCTTTCACTTTCTTGGAATACAACTTTCGGATCGAATTTATATTAAACTGTATACGAACCCAAATTCTAATGATTCTAATATAAGTACATATTCCATATCATTAGCTTGTGTTAGAATATTTTAATAAAACTAACACTTACGGAAAAAACTCAATTCACATCGACTAAATTTCTAAAAACACTTGAATCTTAAAATACTATACTATTGTTACGGAGTTATTAATTTAAGTGAGATCTTGAGACTCTCACGTGCGCAGGCAGGGATCGTTTTTCCGACATATAGTTCTACAAAGTACAGATGAGTTAGTTGGCATTAATGAGATGATTGTCCCACGACCTCAACTTTGTTCGACATTTTCAGAAATGTGAGTTGGGGGCAAACAACAGATCAACATATAGCCTGGCTGATTAAGCCAATGACATGATGTGCATTACCCTTTTGAATATGACATAGGGAACAACTGGCTTTGATGTTCCAAATTTCCCTCTCCAAAACCCAAGAATTGATTCAAGGAAGCTACACATTCTTAACTCACTTTGGTGATCAAATAATGGGTCAACTTGTGAATCCACAAGTCTTGAGTTTGGATCCCATTATCAGCGATTTAACCAATACACCTGATTTGTGTGTATTCGCGTACATCTCAGACTTGCATTAGAGTATTGAGTGCAAAAATACATAGTTGACAGAATTTCTCGTTACGAAAAGGAGATGATAAAAAAAAAAAACACAGAAAACTTAATATTCTCAAGCAAGATGAATTAACAGCAATGTTTCATCAGGAGAGAAGATTTTTTTTTTTTTTTTTTCAGTTTTGTTTCTTAAAAAATATAGATAGGCATATTTTCCATAAATTTATGATTGGTCCCCTAAAAAATATCTACATTGTTATCAGCATTGCCACCATTGCTCTTACATTGTCATTGTCTCTGCTACCAATATCTCGACTAGTTGTGGCATAATCACTTTATTTTGTTCTTCTGTTTACACTGTACAGCTAAACAGAAAGTTTGTATTTGCTGTTTGTTAAAGGAGGTCACTGCAGATTAAGATACAACTTACAATCACTTATGCAAGACAAAAGGGTCATTACCCAATTTTATCCTCGTAAATTTTGGGGCGTTTAGAGGAGTGAACTAGATAGAGACTTAAGTTATGACATTATTTGCACAAAATAGTTGCTCTCGCATATGAGCATACAATGTAACGGTGTTTAAGCCAACACTTATCTATCACAATTCTTAAAAATCAAGAATACTAACAGAAAAAGGGGTTGTAAATCATTACCATTTCAGTATTGAATATAAGTACATTGCAGCATAAACAGTTTTGAGTCTATCAACCTCATATTCATGGAGTAAATGCAATTTGGCGTTCAAAATTAATTGAGATTTACTGCACTCTGGTCTTCCCTCAAGGGTCCAGACCCTAATTTCACCCCCACCTCATCTACCAACCCTAAATTAGGGTTTAAGGTACTTTGTTTTGCTTCTTGAGCTGCCTGTAACACATGATGATCTCCAATTATTATCAGTAATTTCAATTTCACCCACTCCACCACTGTCATCAACTTTAACATAACTTCCACTCTTAATGCCAGTGCTTTTGTTTTCTAGAGGGCTCTCAAGAGCTTCTGTGGCGTTATCGGATGGTACCACAGAAGGCAACTTTGTTAACAAAGCTCCAAGACTGCAAGACATGGGAGGGAAGAGAGGTGGAATAGACCAAATAGCTGATAATTCAGCAACCCCATTTTGTGGGCTGTTGTGGCCTAAGTTGATGGATTTGACTGGAGAGTCATTCTGTTCTTCAACATACTGTCTTTTTGATCCAGCTAGTTGGCACTTGTACTCGTCTATAAAAGTTTTTTCATTGGTCTCCAACATGATATTGGGATTGTTGGGCTTGAAGGTGTATGGATGTTGGCTGGGTAGGTATGGTCTTTGTATAGCATAGATTCCTGGTATGCTCTGTAGATAGCTGAATTTCCTCTGTATGCTAATCACCAGATTGAGATCTTCAACAACCTAAAAGACCCAATGATCATAAATGAAGATTTCATAGAAAACAAATGAGAGAGAGAGAGAGAGAGAGAGAGAGAGAGAGAGAGACCTTATCAAATGAGCCAAGTTGAACTATGCCATCTCTTACAGATATGATTGCAATAGTCTGCCAAAAAATAGAAGAATTTCTAAAATTTCTCAGTGGAATGAATTGGGTAGATTTAACTGAATTTATACAAACCTGAATGCCTGAATTGAACTGAACTTCCCATGCCCTTGGTTGCTGTTTAAATTAACACTGAAGGAAGTGAGATTAAAAGGAAAAAGAAGAGGTTTTTGTTAACCACGAGGAATAATAGCTAGAAAGATTGTCATTTTTGCTTACTGGGTCAATTGATACATTCCATGAGGAGATGAAGGTAGGGTCATTTTCATTTGAACTGTCTCCAAACACCCATTTGTGACTATTATCTGCTGCAACTTTCCCCACCAATCTGCAAACAACCACCATACAACCTTCTGAAGTTTACATAACCAATCTTCTTTGGAGGATATTTTTCAGAAGATCAGATGAGAAATCTTACCCTTCTCCATAATTGTAGACCTCATGAGACATTTTGAAGAAGACATCAGCTCCAAATCTCCCCTTTATGTATCCGCTTCCTGCTCGTTCGCATTCGTAAAAATCACAAAAACCATCTTCCCAGACAAGGATCCTGAGAACAAAATCCAATTTTGTGTTCAACATTAATCAAAATTACACATGGTTATGTCATAAGATAGATGGACTTACCAGTTCCTATTGTTTGCTTTGGCGCGATTCAGTGCTCCTGCTCCATGATCATCCCACCTGCAACAAAGTAATGAGTAATGTAATGGTTATTACAGAGCTCAACATGATTGAAGGAAGTCAAGTTTGATTTGTAATTGATTTTTGATGACTAAAACTTCATGTTTGGCTTTTTTGAAGTCGGTTTTCTTACTTTGGTGGAGGGTAATTCCGAGGCAAGACCCTCCAGAAGACTGCATACACCCATTTGGAAGAGTTAGATGAATCTGAACATGTGCATAGGCTTCGAAGTGTGTGCTGTAAGAGACAGTTAAGCATGGGAAGCCCACCTTCCATTGTCTACAGAGAGAGAGAGAGAGGACTGAGGGGGCATAAGCTACAGTGTACTAGTGTGTTTCCAGTCCCAACTGCAAGGAAAAATCAAAGAAAGAAAATGCAATGCCCAAACATAGTAGGAGAANTACAGAGAGAGAGAGAGAGGACTGAGGGGGCATAAGCTACAGTGTACTAGTGTGTTTCCAGTTCCAACTGCAAGGAAAAATCAAAGAAAGAAAATGCAATGCCCAAACATAGTAGGAGAAGAGTGAGTAACACTGTCCAACTTGCCAAAATATAGACTGCCCTTGTGGAGTGGTACGACCGTAGCACCTTTTTCATCGTTTAGCCNCATAGTAGGAGAAGAGTGAGTAACACTGTCCAACTTGCCAAAATATAGACTGCCCTTGTGGAGTGGTACGACCGTAGCACCTTTTTCATCGTTTAGCCTCTCTCTCTCTCTCTCTCTCTCTTTTTCTCAGTTGTTTGGTTACAATTAATCAGCATTGAAAGCAGTAAGTGTGATGTAATAGCTTTTTTGAAGTACATTTTGTAGTTCGTATCATAGAGGGTTGCATTATGCATCGACTGGTTACCCATCAAGTACTTTTTTTGCTTATCTTTCAGTTGTAAACACTCGTATCTTGATTCAAAACTTCATTAGGAGATGGATTGATTGGCAATTACAATGAATCAAGCTTACATAATTGGCTTAGGCTAGATTGTTTGTGTAAAATGAACTGTATGGAACAGAATTAGCTGAAACTCTTGTCTGAGTTCTTACAATTCTGTCGTATCCCACACTGTAATGCATTTTGTGGCAATAGGGAGGCCGACAGAAAATAAGAGTGTGCAGAAACATACATAACAAAATTTCATGGAGAAGAAAAATTTACTCAACCAAGACCGAACTCATTCATTGTCATGGGGGTCAGATTGAAGCCAATCCAACAACGTTACAAGAAAAAAAAAAATCTTAAAATGGCCGAATAATTATATATTGAAGTATATAGGTGAAGTTGGTTGAGTTTTCAAGTCCAAAATCTTAAATATCAGCTAGAGTTGAAGACTTTTTAAGTTAACTAATGTTGACAGGTCTAAAATTTCTTCCTTGAGCCTGGCCATTTTAACCACGTTGGTACGGGGGAGGTCACTTTCTCTTATCCTAGTCAATTACCTTCAATAATTGTGTAAACTTATACCCAATTCTGTTAAACCATCCACTCTAAATTTCTATGGTGGGAGGACATAATCTATGGAAGTAGAAGCAAAGATTGCAACCATGTACGAAAAACCATTANATCACTTATGCAAGACAAAAGGGTCATTACCCAATTTTATCCTCGTAAATTTTGGGGCGTTTAGAGGAGTGAACTAGATAGAGACTTAAGTTATGACATTATTTGCACAAAATAGTTGCTCTCGCATATNGGAGTGAACTAGATAGAGACTTAAGTTATGACATTATTTGCACAAAATAGTTGCTCTCGCATATGAGCATACAATGTAACGGTGTTTAAGCCAACACTTATCTATCACAATTCTTAAAAATCAAGAATACTAACAGAAAAAGGGGTTGTAAATCATTACCATTTCAGTATTGAATATAAGTACATTGCAGCATAAACAGTTTTGAGTCTATCAACCTCATATTCATGGAGTAAATGCAATTTGGCGTTCAAAATTAATTGAGATTTACTGCACTCTGGTCTTCCCTCAAGGGTCCAGACCCTAATTTCACCCCCACCTCATCTACCAACCCTAAATTAGGGTTTAAGGTACTTTGTTTTGCTTCTTGAGCTGCCTGTAACACATGATGATCTCCAATTATTATCAGTAATTTCAATTTCACCCACTCCACCACTGTCATCAACTTTAGCATAACTTCCACTCTTAATGCCAGTGCTTTTGTTTTCTAGAGGGCTCTCAAGAGCTTCTGTGGCGTTATCGGATGGTACCACAGAAGGCAACTTTGTTAACAAAGCTCCAAGACTGCAAGACATGGGAGGGAAGAGAGGTGGAATAGACCAAATAGCTGATAATTCAGCAACCCCATTTTGTGGGCTGTTGTGGCCTAAGTTGATGGATTTGACTGGAGAGTCATTCTGTTCTTCAACATACTGTCTTTTTGATCCAGCTAGTTGGCACTTGTACTCGTCTATAAAAGTTTTTTCATTGGTCTCCAACATGATATGGGGATTGTTGGGCTTGAAGGTGTATGGATGTTGGCTGGGTAGGTATGGTCTTTGTATAGCATAGATTCCTGGTATGCTCTGTAGATAGCTGAATTTCCTCTGTATGCTAATCACCAGATTGAGATCTTCAACAACCTAAAAGACCCAATGATCATAAATGAAGATTTCATAGAAAACGAATGAGAGAGAGAGAGAGAGAGAGAGACCTTATCAAATGAGCCAAGTTGAACTATGCCATCTCTTACAGATATGATTGCAATAGTCTGCCAAAAAATAGAAGAATTTCTAAAATTTCTCAGTGGAATGAATTGGGTAGATTTAACTGAATTTATACAAACCTGAATGCCTGAATTGAACTGAACTTCCCATGCCCTTGGTTGCTGTTTAAATTAACACTGAAGGAAGTGAGATTAAAAGGAAAAAGAAGAGGTTTTTGTTAACCACGAGGAATAATAGCTAGAAAGATTGTCATTTTTGCTTACTGGGTCAATTGATACATTCCATGAGGAGATGAAGGTAGGGTCATTTTCATTTGAACTGTCTCCAAACACCCATTTGTGACTATTATCTGCTGCAACTTTCCCCACCAATCTGCAAACAACCACCATACAACCTTCTGAAGTTTACATAACCAATCTTCTTTGGAGGATATTTTTCAGAAGATCAGATGAGAAATCTTACCCTTCTCCATAATTGTAGACCTCATGAGACATTTTGAAGAAGACATCAGCTCCAAATCTCCCCTTTATGTATCCGCTTCCTGCTCGTTCGCATTCGTAAAAATCACAAAAACCATCTTCCCAGACAAGGATCCTGAGAACAAAATCCAATTTTGTGTTCAACATTAATCAAAATTACACATGGTTTTGTCATAAGATAGATGGACTTACCAGTTCCTATTGTTTGCTTTGGCGCGATTCAGTGCTCCTGCTCCATGATCATCCCACCTGCAACAAAGTAATGAGTAATGTAATGGTTATTACAGAGCTCAACATGATTGAAGGAAGTCAAGTTTGATTTGTAATTGATTTTTGATGACTAAAACTTCATGTTTGGCTTTTTTGAAGTCGGTTTTCTTACTTTGGTGGAGGGTAATTCCGAGGCAAGACCCTCCAGAAGACTGCATACACCCATTTGGAAGAGTTAGATGAATCTGAACATGTGCATAGGCTTCGAAGTGTGTGCTGTAAGAGACAGTTAAGCATGGGAAGCCCACCTTCCATTGTCCACAGAGAGAGAGAGAGAGGACTGAGGGGGCATAAGCTACAGTGTACTAGTGTGTTTCCAGTCCCAACTGCAAGGAAAAATCAAAGAAAGAAAATGCAATGCCCAAACATAGTAGGAGAAGAGTGAGTAACACTGTCCAACTTGCCAAAATATAGACTGCCCTTGTGGAGTGGTACGACCGTAGCACCTTTTTCATCGTTTAGCCTCTCTCTCTCTCTCTCTCTCTCTTTTTCTCAGTTGTTTGGTTACAATTAATCAGCATTGAAAGCAGTAAGTGTGATGTAATAGCTTTTTTGAAGTACATTTTGTAGTTCGTATCATAGAGGGTTGCATTATGCATCGACTGGTTACCCATCAAGTACTTTTTTTGCTTATCTTTCAGTTGTAAACACTCGTATCTTGATTCAAAACTTCATTAGGAGATGGATTGATTGGCAATTACAATGAATCAAGCTTACATAATTGGCTTAGGCTAGATTGTTTGTGTAAAATGAACTGTATGGAACAGAATTAGCTGAAACTCTTGTCTGAGTTCTTACAATTCTGTCGTATCCCACACTGTAATGCATTTTGTGGCAATAGGGAGGCCGACAGAAAATAAGAGTGTGCAGAAACATACATAACAAAATTTCATGGAGAAGAAAAATTTACTCAACCAAGACCGAACTCATTCATTGTCATGGGGGTCAGATTGAAGCCAATCCAACAACGTTACAAGAAAAAAAAAAATCTTAAAATGGCCGAATAATTATATATTGAAGTATATAGGTGAAGTTGGTTGAGTTTTCAAGTCCAAAATCTTAAATATCAGCTAGAGTTGAAGACTTTTTAAGTTAACTAATGTTGACAGGTCTAAAATTTCTTCCTTGAGCCTGGCCATTTTAACCACGTTGGTACGGGGGAGGTCACTTTCTCTTATCCTAATCAATTACCTTCAATAATTGTGTAAACTTACACCCAATTCTGTTAAACCATCCACTCTAAATTTCTATGGTGGGAGGACATAATCTATGGAAGTAGAAGCAAAGATTGCAACCATGTACGAAAAACCATTAGCCTTTAGCAAAAGCAAAAGTTGCAGTCTATGAAGCACAGACATACTGTTTTAATTCCTAGTGGTACTGGTACCTGTACAAATTTTTCTTTGTAGATTTTGTTATATTGTTGTATCCGTATTATATATCACATCCGATATGCTTACAAGGTTGCAACAAGGTGTGCGTGCAAGATCCTGCACAATGTAAAAAACGAGAACAGATCTCTCCCCTGGTGAACTTCGAGTGAGCCGGTTGAGTGACCAAACACGCTGCTTGGGACAGCCCGCCAGGTACGGTGGTGACTTGGAACGGCAACGGGAGATTCTGGGAACGGAAGAACGATCCAGTAGGGCTAAAAGTGGTTCCTGGAACAAAGAAGAACAAGTTAGAAGGGCGCCGGAGTGTTTTCCGGCGTATCCCCTCCGACAATCTAGTCAGTCTTTGAGAGAGAGAGAGAGAGGAAGAAGAAAACACCGAGAAAATGTATTGTAGTAGAGAGTTCGTTGTTGCATACCCGCTTTGCCTTTTGCAAGGAGTATTTATACCTTAAAAGCTCATGATTGCTGTCAGTGTGGTCAGTAGGTGATCATTAGGCACAGGTAGCGTGTGCATTGATTCTGATGAGGAATGTCTTCTCTAATTAACTGCTCGGGGTCCCGAGCAATCAATGCTGGNATTGTCATGGGGGTCAGATTGAAGCCAATCCAACAACGTTACAAGAAAAAAAAAAATCTTAAAATGGCCGAATAATTATATATTGAAGTATATAGGTGAAGTTGGTTGAGTTTTCAAGTCCAAAATCTTAAATATCAGCTAGAGTTGAAGACTTTTTAAGTTAACTAATGTTGACAGGTCTAAAATTTCTTCCTTGAGCCTGGCCATTTTAACCACGTTGGTACGGGGGAGGTCACTTTCTCTTATCCTAGTCAATTACCTTCAATAATTGTGTAAACTTATACCCAATTCTGTTAAACCATCCACTCTAAATTTCTATGGTGGGAGGACATAATCTATGGAAGTAGAAGCAAAGATTGCAACCATGTACGAAAAACCATTGGCCTTTAGCAAAAGCAAAAGTTGCAGTCTATGAAGCACAGACATACTGTTTTAATTCTTAGTGGTACTGGTACCTGTACAAATTTTTCTTTGTAGATTTTGTTATATTATTGTATCCGTATTATATATCACATCCGATATGCTTACAAGGTTGCAGCAAGGTTATGCAAAACACTTCCTAATCTGAAGTGGCCTAATTTTTAACTGTTTCCGATTATCAGTCTAGCAGTTGACATGAGGATAAGGGATTGGCTGTACCTGCAGTGGTCCTCCAAAGAGGACTAGTTTTTATCACACCAAACTGTCCCTCCCAAGGTTCATTAGGAAGTTTATCTCTACAAGTGCTAGTCATTTTCTACTTTCTGTGAAGGTATTGATCTTAGACCACCAAATTACAATTTGATAAACTTAAGGCCATTGTGCTGCTGTTATACTCATTTCACCTTAGTTAAAAGTTCAGACCACACAAGAGCTAGTTGCATGAATCCTTATTGCAAGTATTCCTGCAGTTGGTAATCTCTCTCTCTCTCTCTCTCATCAAATGATTGAGCCCCCATCCATGGAGTTTATACAATGACAGGAAAGAAAAATGTGTAAACATTTGTTATCAGTGGAAAGTTGAGACTCTTCATATTGAGACTGATTGTTGGCTAACCTGTTGGAGATATATGACACCACAAACGTACCTTATCACAGTCCCTTCTGTCCAATCCCTATTGGATTGTCTCTCTCTTCTCTCTCTCTCTCTCTCAACACATGCTATTGTTTGTGTATTCATGGAAAGAAAGTTGTAGTTGATCTTGACTATCAGCATCCCATTAAGGCCGACAATACTCAGAATCCGCAAAATCAACACAAACATAGCGGGTTCGGATTAGCCTCAACGGGTTTTGGCTGTAAAAGGATGGATCCGCTGCACCTGTTTAATAAGTGGGTTTATAGACACAAACACGACTAAACTCAACATATACCCAATACGAATCCAACTCCACTACAAATTTATCTAAATTAGGTTGAATTTTTTTTTTTGACAAAACATGACTAACACGGTTTAAACACACGACACACTACATCCAAGCGTAAACTAAATGCATGAGATGGCAAATTGGATTTATAAAGAAGACAAAAGATGGGACATTTAGTTGAAAACTTTGGTCATTTGCACGGGACTAAGAACTTGTGGTCCACGAATCCTTTCCAATCAGAGTGGGGATAGCCATTATGAACTTGATGAAGGTGTGTCCCATTCAACTTTTTCTTGCAATAATGTCATGGATTGTGCATCATCACATTATCATCCATAAGGGTGTGTGTGATAGCTAGTATCAGGCCCATCTACTCTATGAATGTGACTGTGTTTACCTAATCAAAGTTTGTGACCAAGTGTATACATGCAAAGCAAATGTTGTTTTAGCTACATACATGAAAGGAATACTGTCATTTTTCCTTTTAGCTACTTACATGAAAGGAATACTGTCATTTTTCCTTTATCTTCTTCTTTTCGTCTTACAATTTTACCTTTATCGGCCTTTTAGCTTAATCATATGAGCATTTGCTCTTTTCCGTTTAACATAGAAGCGAGTTCTTTTCAATAACTCAAACTATACAAATCAAGTGCGATCATCTAGACAGACACGTTTCGCTGGTATAAAAGTTACCACCCATCAACTTCTGAGTTAAGAACCATTAGGTGATCTGATAAAAACAAATGGAGACATCCAACAGCAAACTTTAGACTTTAAAACTTCGCAAAGAAACAAATGAGCAGCAGCAGGTACCAGCCAAGCTTTAATGCCCATAGTACAACAGATGCACTCTAATGTGGAGGCAAGTAAAGAGACTTTGACAAATACAAATTGTGGGACAAAAGGGTATCCCACTATTTTTTAAGGGGATAATGCTATGCTTATCAAATTTTTTTACCAAATCTTCATTCCAAATAGTGTGACACGGTTTTTCACTATCAGATAAGTGGATTCCATTTACATTCAATGACAGAGATTGCGCCACATCAATTGGGATGAAGTTTTGATAAAAAAAAATTTTGGTAAGTATCACATTTTCCTTCTTAAAGAACATCCTTGGATTGGTCCTCCCCTCCAGTTCAAGACTCACTTTCACACTTTCACATTGCCTTGTCTTTTNAATTTTGGTAAGTATCACATTTTCCTTCTTAAAGAACATCCTTGGAGTGGTCCTCCCCTCCAGTTCAAGACTCACTTTCACACTTTCACATTGCCTTGTCTTTTAGATCATTGCAATAGAAACCTCCATTGGAGTGATTTCAAGCCTGCATCTCATTGTTTAGGCATACCTCGTTATGTTTGTTTACCATTTTGTTACATTCCCGGAGGAATGATCCTCTATATGTGGCTAAAGGCAGCCTCAAAAAGTGAAGTAAACTCAAGCTTGTCCATGGAACGAACTTTTAGTGGCGAAGTTCCTGCCCTACCCTGTTCCTGAGGGAACTTTGGTGGAAGTCTAAGGCTCTTGTTGGCTATCAGGGCGTATACCTACGAATTTGAAATCTNCTCGTTATGTTTGTTACCATTTTGTTACATTCCCGGAGGAATGATCCTCTATATGTGGCTAAAGGAAGCCTCAAAAAGTGAAGTTAACTCAAGCTTGTCCATGGAACGAACTTTTAGTGGCGAAGTTCCTGCCCTACCCTGTTCCTGAGGGAACTTTGGTGGAAGTCTAAGGCTCTTGTTGGCTATCAGGGCGTATACCTACGAATTTGAAATCTCTATAACTCCCGAGTGAAAGGTCGGGCTATCCTGTTTATGATTCTCAATCCCACATTGCTCGATAAGGAGTGTGTGAAGTAATACATAAGTGTAAATTTTTGTACATAAATCGTGTGCTGCACTCCGTTAGTCCAAAGCGGATGATATTGTAAAATAAAAATTTAATTTTATGATTTTCTCAAACATTGCTTATTTGAGAACTAAGTTTATAAATTTGATTAAAATTTGAATAAAAAGTGCGTAAAATTAAAAGTAATTTTAATCCACAACCTATAACTTTATGAATAATACTATTTGAATNGTTTTTGTACAAAAATCGTGTGCTGCACTCCATTAGTCCAAAGCGGATGATATTGTAAAATAAAAGTGTAATTTTATGATTT